AGATGTGAAGATGATAGGTAATATTTGGTATAAATCTCATTTGGTTTTTCGTGTTAGATTACAAACGAACATGGAATTTTGTCAGAACTATACATTTTGGTATTCAAGTGTGCTTGCATGATCATTTTGATGGATACATGTTCTACTAACTAGGATCTTATGTAGATCTCTTTTGATCTTGTAATCACATTTCCTTCATGGTGCATTTTAAGTTGTTTTTCATTTTTCTTTGGGCTGGAGGGAGCTGGATGTGTTAATTCTGTGTTGGAAACTAATGTTGGTTTTGATATTGGCAAGTTTAGGTTTGAGCTGGATATGTTGTTAGAGTCGGTGAGCTCAACCGCTAAGCGAGCAGAGGAACTTCTGAACAGCATTAATGAAAATAAGATCAGTATGGAAAGTCCAATCCATATCGAAGACCACTTCACTGGTTTGTATCTAAAAGTTGATTAAGAAGCAATTAAACGTCAAGTATTTATTCTGGAATTTGAGCTTTATCCATTTTTGTTTTAACTGCATTGGCCTTTTTCGTTTGATTCTTTTTATTGCAGCTTTAAACTTAAGGTGCATTGAACGATTATATGGTGACCATGGTCTTGATGTGATGGATATACTGCGGAAAAATCCAACTCTGGCTTTGCCTGTCGTATTAACTCGCCTAAAGCAGAAACAAGAGGAATGGACAAGGTGTAGATCAGATTTTAACAAGGTTTGGGCTGATATATATGCGAAAAACCATTACAAATCACTTGATCATCGGAGCTTCTATTTCAAGCAACAAGATTCAAAGAACTTGAGTAGCAAATGTAAGTAATTTACTATTGAAGATTGGTTTTCTTGAGCATATATGTTTCTATGGGTTTTCAATTATTGTTTCTCTGTTCTAATTCTACTCCTATTGAGGAACAGCTTTGGTGGCTGAGATCAAGGAATTGAAAGAGAAAAAGCAGATAGAGGATGATATCCTTCTGGCTGTTGCTGCTGGAAACAGGCAATCTGTAGTTCCACATGTGGAGTATGAATACGTTGATATCAGCATACATGAAGACTTGTATAAACTTGTCCAATATTCTTGCGAGGAGGTTTTCTCAACGAAAGAACAGCTAAATAAGGCCATGAGACTTTATACTACGATTTTGGAGCCAATGCTGGGTGTTCCTTCTCGACCTCATGGTTCAGAGGATGATGAAGATGCTGATAAAACTAGGAATCGTGCTATGAATTATACTGCATCAAGCATAGGAGAAAGTGATGGAAGTCCTGGTGGGGATATGATGAATCTTAAACAGCCTCAATCTGTGTGTACTGAAGAAGAAAATACTTTAGCAGAAGTGGAAAGTTTGGCTAATGGGGATACCTTAGCTAAAGAAGATGGCAGTTGCGATGCTGAGCGTGTCCGTAAGAACGATTCCATATGTGATAATATTCAACCAGAGAAAGACCAGAAGAATATGGATGTCTCTGATAAAAGGTATCTGGTTACCAACATGGATAACGGACGGCTACCCAGTCAACCATCATATCGAATTGGAGCAGAAAATAAGCATGGCAGAACCAGCTTGGAAGTGACATCAGGTATGCCTTTTCTGAATTTAATTCTTCTTTTTTCCTATTAGTTTTGGCATCTGATTGTTTTGAGTTAGTTATATTAAGATTTACTTTACTTTGTGGAGTTATCATAATGCTGCAATACTGAGATTGTTTTGAATTTAAGGGTGTGTTGCAACCACGTCAAGACCTGGTGGCTCCATTAGTGACAATGACCATTTACAGAAAGCAAACGCTGATGTCGTTCCTTCACCAGAGGTACGAGTCTGGAATTTTGGCATCTGTTAGGGCTTTCCGGGGTTTGATATTACCGTTTGGTTTTGCATTACATACTCACATTCTGTTTGGTTCTTCAGGGCGTTGATATTGCAAAACCCGCTTCATTTGCTAATGGAGTGGTTCCAGAAAGCACTAAAGTTAACAGTCGTCATGAAGTGTCCGTTGGGCCCTCCAAAATTGAAAAAGAAGAAGGGGAGTTATCACCGGTTGGTGACTTTGGGGAGGATAACTTTGTTGTCTCTGGAGATGCTGGGGTGCAAGCTATGCCTAAGACCAACCATAATGTAGAAAGTAGACAATATCAATCTGGGAATGGGGAAGACACTTGTCAGGATGCTGGAGAAAATGATGCAGATGCTGACGATGAGAACAGTGAAAATGTTTCTGAGGCTGGGGAAGATGCCTCTGGCAGTGAGACAGCTGGTGATGAATGTTCTCGGGAAGAGCAAGGTGAGGAGGAAGATGCTGAGCATGATGATGTTGATGGTAAGGCTGAGAGTGAAGGTGAGGCTGAAGGGGTGGCTGATGGGCACCTTGTTGGAGGAGATGGAATGTCCTTGCAATTGTCAGAACGTTTTCTTTTGTCTGTGAAGCCTGTTGCAAAGCATGTGCCAGCTGCTTTACTTGAAGAAAGGAAAGACTCTCGTGTTTTCTACGGGAATGATAATTTCTATGTGCTTTATAGGCTTCATCAAGTAAAGAGCCACCTTTTCTTTTATTGTTTGCAGTTAGTTTATTTATTTATTTACTACTACATACAAAGCTTGACTTATTTGGTTTTGCCAGATTCTATATGAAAGGATTTTATCTGCAAAAACAAGTTCAACAGGTGCAGAAATGAAGTGGAGAAGTTCAAAGGACAGCAGTTCTCCGGATCTGTATGCCAGGTATTTTGCGGAGCCTCTTATCTTTTAAAAAGATAATAGTTAGAAACTGCACAACTGCGGAAAGCATTTTTAGTTCGGTTGCGTTATATTTGTTCCTCTATTCTGCAGATTTATGAGTGCTCTATACAGTTTGCTTGATGGATCTGCTGATAATGCAAAATTTGAGGATGAATGCCGAGCAATTATTGGAAACCAGTCATATATATTATTCACATTGGACAAATTAATATATAAATTTGTCAAACAGGTTTGCTCACTTGAAATTCTGTGTTTTGACTTAATTTTTTTTTTGTCTATTTGCTTTTGCTGCCAAGGTTCTGATTTGTGGTTCTTTATGCAGCTTCAAGCCGTTGCAGCTGATGAGATGGACAATAAGCTTCTTCAATTATATGAATATGAAAAATCCCGCAAAACTGAGAAGTTGATAGATTCTGTTTATTATGAAAATGCACGTGTCCTCCTTCATGAGGAGAACATTTACAGATTGGAATTTGTAAGTTCTTGGACACTTCCAATTTATTTGACTGTAAATTGAACTTTTTGAAAAGTCTCTGATTTTGTGTTTTACTTTCCTTTAGTTTTCAGCCCCCTCCCGGCTGTCCATCCAGCTGATGGACAGTGTGAGTGAAAAGCCCGAGGTGTTTGCCGTTTCTATGGAACCTAATTTTGCATCTTATCTGCACAATGATTTTCTGCCAGTTTTTCCTGGAAAAAAGGAGCCGCATGGCATTACTCTTCAGAGGTGATAATGTACTCTTCAGATATTACATTGCATTAGAGGGTCACAGTAGGAGTCTAGGCTATTCTCTCTGTAAGTCAGCACTTGCATCTTGCATAGTTTAGGATGCATTTCTTTGCCTAAAGTTTTCTTGATCCATGCTTTTTAACCATTTAACTTGTTTGTTCGTTCGTTTTACCGTTATCTGTCTCTTGCACCTAAATAAAAGCTAAACTAATGTTAAAAGCTTTGACATATGCTAGAATTATTACACTTCTTGAAGAAATGTGGCACTCTGAAATATAGGGACCGCCCAGTGGATTTAGTTTCGGTCTGTGTTTTTTGGGCAAGAAAAGTTTTATGTAAATTCTCTCGCAGTTTCAATTGCCTTGTGGTATAAAATGTGCTAAATGTTTCTGAAACTTCTTTGTTAGTTAATTCCTAACTTGCTGATCAATCTATTTGTGCAGAAACAAGCGCAAATATGCAGGGCAGGATGAATCCTCTGCCTTCTGCAGGGCCATGGAGGATGTTCAATTGGTCAATGGTTTAGAGTGCAAGATAGCGTGCAACTCATCCAAGGTATCTCGGCTCAGTTGTACTATATTTTTCGTGGTGTTTGCCTTTAATCTGTGCACTTCCTATTTTTGAGTTTGATCCGACGAACCTTCCTTCTCGATACCA